TATTTTGGTCAAAACTGTAACAATTAACTGAAATAGTTGAAAAATTCTCTATTGGGTTGAGCTCTGGGGACTAGGCTGGCCACTCCATAACGTTATATAATCGTATAATCATGGTTCTGAGAACTGCTCCCCATCTGTGTTGCACAATTTCTGGCAACTTCCTTTACGTACTTGGATTTGCCTCAGAAACTATGTTCAGACATCAGCCTGAAAAATTCTCTTTTGGGTTGAGGTCTGGGGACTAGGCTGGCCACTCCATAACGTTATATAAACGTATAATCATGGTTCTGAGAACTGCTCCCCATCTGTGTTGCACAATTTCTAGCATCTTCCTCTGCATTTCCTGTTTTTTCCTCAGAGACAGCATGTTTTGATATCAGCCTACAGGTTTCTCTATTGGGTTACGATCTGGGGACTAGGCTGGCCACTCCATAACGTTATATAATCGTATAATCATGGTTCTGAGAACTGCTCCCCATCTGTGTTGCACAATTTCTAGCATCTTCCTCTGCATTTCCTGTTTTTTCCTCAGAGACAGCATGTTTTGATATCAGCCTACAGGTTTCTCTATTGGGTTACGATCTGGGGTCTAGGCTGGCCACTCCATAATGTTATTTAGTTGTATAACCACAGTTCTGAGAACCGCTTTCCATCTCTGTTGCACTAATTTCTGGCACCTTCCTCTACGTTTCTCGGTTTTGCCTTAGAAGCAGCATGTTTTGATATCAGCCTACGGGTTTATCTATTGGGCTAAGCTCTGGGAACTAGGCTGGCCACTTTATAACGTTATATAATCGTATAATCATGGTTCTGAGAACTGCTCCCCATCTGTGTTGCACAATTTCTAGCATCTTCCTCTGCATTTCCTGTTTTTTCCTCAGAGACAGCATGTTTTGATATCAGCCTACAGGTTTCTCTATTGGGTTACGATCTGGGGTCTAGGCTGGCCACTCCATAATGTTATTTAGTTGTATAACCACAGTTCTGAGAACCGCTTTCCATCTCTGTTGCACTAATTTCTGGCACCTTCCTCTACGTTTCTCGGTTTTGCCTTAGAAGCAGCATGTTTTGATATCAGCCTACGGGTTTATCTATTGGGCTAAGCTCTGGGAACTAGGCTGGCCACTTTATAACGTTAATTCTGTTGGTCTGAAACCAAGATGCTGCTCGCTTAGTTATGTCTTGTTGAAACCCTCTTTATAAGGACATTTCCTCTCCAGCATAGGGCAACGCGACCTCTTTAAGTATTCTCACGTACTCAAATTGATCCATGATCCCTGGAATGTCTTAAATAGGATGTTTTCGCGTGACGTTCGAAATTAAGATGGAGGGCTGGATGCGGTTCTTCATCATAGGAATCAGAACATCTAAATATGTATGTTTTGAGTTGTTTATAATTGTTTAAATTGGCTAAAACGAGAAATGGCAAACAGCTTTCATATAGCTACAAATGTTTTTGCTTATAAAGGGGAAAAGTTTAAGAAAAGGCGGCAAGAAATAAACATTTTTAATACATAGATGTGTACAAATCGTTTTAGAGCACGATAATTAGTTTGACAGCACTAATAAACGTTATCTAGAGGCCTAGCTGTGTGTATTAAATGTTAAGGGGTTATATAAAAATCAGATACAAACACCACGAGACTTATGCTAAATCCAGGAGAATATAAGTACCTTACCCTGCCATGTAATCGCAGCAATGAAACCTCCATCTTGTTTGCAATAATCCATATCTTTATTGGCGTTTCGGCTGAATAAGCAACCATAATTATAGTGTAGAAAACTTGAATCTGAATCTCGCTTGCCACCAGAACCACGTGATTACAAGCAACCCATAGGCACAACATATAGTCGCAGAAGCCTGTAATGTGGCTTTAATTCAGTGTTTGGAGGTTGTCTAACAAACTGTCTGCTGTACCACAGACACTCAATTCATTCTAGCAGAGTTGTTTCTGCTAGAAACAACATTCAACAGAGGATGTTTACCCTATGCCGAAGAGAAACTGTCCTTGAAAACTAGTGTTTCAACAAGACAACGACTCCAAATACACCGGTAAGTGAGTAGCAGCTTGGTTCATTCTGAGGGTTTAACCAGTTGTTTTTCAGGTGTCCATTTTGTTTAAGCATTTTTTAAAATGACGGTTAATTTATGAAATGGCGTCCTTCTGACGATAATCATCACTGACAACGTTTACATGGACATCAGTAATCAAATTATTAGCCTTAATCTGAATAAGCGTTTTCCCGGAGATGGGTTGCGGCTGGAAGGGCATCCGCTGCGTAAAACAATGTGCTGGATCTGTTGGTGGTTCATTCCGTTGTGGCGACTCCATTTTAATAAAGGGACTAATCCGAAAAGAAAATGAACGAATAAGCGCGAGTTGCTTTTTGAAGGTTCCTTTCACGATCCCGTTTTACATGTTATAGCACATAGATCGATTAACGTCACTGCGTCAGCACTATCCACATTTCCTCCGGAGTTTCATTATTAGTTGTTCGACTTTACCTGCATTTTGGCACTTTCAGGAACATTTCAGGCATGCCCCCGTAACAAACGAGATATTGGATGCGAGTATGAACTGCTGGAAGAGTGTTGTTTTAATGGATATGATACCGCACGCCTCCGCATTTTGTGTGTCTGTGATCCTTCACTGACTTGGTAGGTGCAGAGTATAGTGTCAAACAGCCGTCTTGTCGAAAAATGCGGCGAAAATCCTACACAACAGTAATAGTTTGAGTGTTTGCATGTCTGTACTAAAATTCTATAATGCCACTAATATCTCCACGTCTTAATTCCATTTCTGTTTAGTTCGATTGTGACCTTAATTTGATTGAATTCATTAAAAATTGCTATTTACATGGTAGACTTACTCTTCGTCGGAATATTGGCTGCATCTGAAACCGTCTACTACTCAGTAGGAACTGCATTTGAATTTAAGCGTACTACTCGGCCGATGGAAAAGTACGTTCTATACAGTATGAATGTGAGCTGAATGAATGGCTGCGTCCGAAACCGCCTACTACTCAGTAGGTACTGTTTTTGAATTTAAACGTACTACTCGGCCGTTAGAAAAGTACGTTCTTTACAGTATGAATGTGAAAAGTATGAATGGAATTCGGATGTACTACATCCGCCATTTTGTCATGGTCACGCGACCTACCTGCGTAATTTGCGTCGCTTCACTCCCATTCATGAATTTGCTCGTGCATGAGATGCGCACTCCAGAATTTCGACCGGAAGTAGTAAGTCATCCGGGTACTTCTCGCATACTGATTTTCGAATTCTAGGAATTCGGACATACTACTAGGCGTGCATATTGATTTTAGCGTACTAAATAGTATGGAAGTATGCGATTTCGGTCGCAGCCATTGTCTTAATCGCACAAAAATCGGATAATTGGTGTCCATGTAAACATACTCAATGTGCTTTTCAGCAATGTGTCCTGAAATGTAACGTGAACACTTTTAAATCTGATTTTCAGAATTTTTGCGTCCGTCAAATGTAATATCGCAATTAATCGCATCCAAAATAAAAGTTTTTAAAAGCCCGAAATTATTCATACCCTACTGTATATTGCTACAGTTAAATTCCTTCACATTTTAAATATTATATCTTGTTATTTCTAATAAATAAATAAAATAAAATCTTTATAAATGTCTAAAATATAATTTTCATCTTCACTATTTTTATCGAGAATGACCATTAGAACTTTACAGTTACCGTCAGTGTTCTTAGCTGGAACACCTTATAGCTCTGCGATAAATATTCAAATTTGTTTAGGAAAAATATAAAACTTCGTTATAAAAGTCTGACATTTTACACACGGGGCCAGATTTACTAACAAGGTCAATTATCATCGACGCCAAATTTCATAACAGCGACGATAAGAAGTTGATGCCCTACCGATGTTTCTGTTGACAATATGCAAATTAAAGAACAGTAAGACAAGAGCTAATTTTTATTATCTATACAACAAGAACAGTGCAAATTATGTCGCAAACAAGCTGAGCTGATCGTAGTCTAGTTATCTAAACAGGAAATCGGTTAAAGACAAAAATCGCACTGCAATTTTTAGTACTTGGTGCTCCACCGGAAAAAGGTTTGCCATCTCCAGGTTGGAGGAAAGTCCTTACCCCAGGTGGAAGAGTTCAAGTATGTTGGGGTTTTGTTCACGAGTGAGGGAAGGATGGAGCGTGAGATTGACTGGCGGATTGGTGCAGTGGCTGCAGTAATGTGGTTGATGTACCGGTCCGTTGTGGGGAAGAAAGGGCTGAGCCGAAAGGCAAAGCTCTCGATTTACTGGTCAATCTACGTTCCTACTCTCACCTATGTTCATGAGCTTTGGGTCATGACAGAAAGGACAAGATCTCGGATACAAGCAACTGAAATTAGTTACCTTCATAGGGTCGCAAGGCGCACCTTTATGAATGAGGTGAGGAGCACGGAGTACAAGCTCCTCCAGATGGAGAGAAGTCAGCTGAGGTGGCTCGGGCATCTGTTTAGGATGCCTCGATGCCTACCTAGGGAGGTGTCCAGGCATGTCCCACCGGGAGGAGGTCTTGGTGAAGACCCAGGACACGCTGGAGGGACTATGTCTCTCAGCTGGCCTGGGAACGCCTCGGGATCCCCCCGGAAAAGCTGGAGGAAGTGTCTGGGGAAAGGGAAGTCTGGGATTCTCTCCTAAGACTGCTGCCTCTGCTACCCGGCCCCAGCAAAGCGGCAGAAAATAAACTTTTAATACTCCTTTACATATTTATCTTGTTAGACGGAATACGATCCCCATCTCACACTGATATCAAATTGATTAAAGGTCAAAATGGACACAATTAAGAAGACTCGTCTAAAGTTTGACCTCATCAGTCGAAAACAAAATGAAAGTCAATGAAAATCGTACCAAATAAACGAGTGCTTAGAGTAATTAGTTCCCCTCCCTCACATATTCTACACCCATGTTTACAGTAATGCGTTTTTGTTTTAAAATGCATTTGTTTTGTTAGAGCTATGCCTGGTGTCCATGCTACTCCAGCTTCTTGGACCTAAGAAAACACATCATTTCATCATCTCGCTTTAGTTTGGAAACCCTGGTGTTTGTATTCACTGCAGAGGGACTGAAACGCAGACTGTTGAAAGCATGGTGCAATTTGCGCAAATGAGGCCAATCAGGAGCTTGCTCTAGAATGAATGTGATTATGACGTAGCGCCTCTTGTTGGTGTCTTGAGGGGAAATCCTCCTGCTGACACAGGAGATCAGCTCTTCAAACTAGGGCAGGATTATTCTGAAGCATCGCTGAAAAGCCTCCATCATCCAGGTACAGTTTCTGGAGGAGTGCACCTCTGAAAAGGATCTAGTGGACTCAAGACAGAGGCGCCGAATGAATCTCTGCTGTTTTTCAGCCTTCCTAAAGCACAGAAACGCAGCTATTCTCTCAATAACATCCATGTTAGCCATTTAGCAACGAAACTAGAGTCACCGGGTGGACAGAAGCCCTGCCCATGACACGAATCCACAATATTGTAAAGTAATTTTTGACAAACAAATAAAGCGAGTAAACTTAATCCTGTTCCTGGACATCTACCTTCCTGCAGAGTTCAGCTGCAACCTCAATCAAACACACCTGTGTAGAATTAGACTAAGTTACATTAGATTATATAACAGACTAAAGTGAGGACCAAGGTTTGCGGTGATCGCGGACTAAAGTGAGGACCGTGGGTGGAGGTGATAACAGACTAAAGTGAGGACCGGGGGTTGGGGTGATCACGGAGTAAAATGAGGACCGTGGTTGGGGGTAAAAAATTGATTAAAGTGATGACCGGGGGTTGAGGTGATTGCAGATTAAAGTGAGAACTGTGAGTGGGGGTGATAACGGACTAAAGTGAGGCCCAGGGGTTGGGGTGACCGTGGACTAAAGTGAGGATCGTGGGTGGGGGTGATGTTGGGGTGATCGTAGACTAAAGTAAGGACTGTGAGTGGGGGTGATAACGGACTAAAGTGAGGACCAGGGGTTGGGGTGATCGTGGACTAAAGTAAGGACTGTTGGGGGGGGGGTGATAATGGACTAAAGTGAGGACCAGGGGTTGGGGTGATCGAGGACTAAAGTGAGTACCGTGGGTGGGGGTGATAACAGACTAAATTGAGGACCGGGGGTTGGGGTGAAAATTGATTAAAGTGAGGACCGGGGGTTGGGGTGATAGAAGACTAAAGTTAGGACCAGGGGTTGGGGTGATCGAGGACTAAATTGAGCATCGTGGGTGGGGTTGATAAGGGACTAAAAAGAGGATCAGGGGTTGGGGTGGATCGCGGACTAAAGTGAGGACTGTTGGGGGGTGATAACGGACTAAAGTGAGGACTGTTGGGGGGTGATAATGGACTAAAGTGAGGACTGTTGGGGGGTGATAATGGACTAAAGTGAGGACCAGGGGTTGGGGTGATCGTGGACTAAAGTGAGGACCGTGGGTGGTGTGGCTGATAATGGACTAAAGTGAGGACCAGGGGTTGGGGTGATCGAGGACTAAAGTGAGCATCGTGGGGGGGTGATAACGGACTAAAGTCAGGATCAGGGGTTGGGGTGATCGCAGACTAAAGTGAGGACTGTTGGGGGGGGTGATAACGGACTTAAGTGAGGACCAGTGGTTAGGTGAATGTGGACTAAGGTGAGGGCCGTGGATGGGGTGGTAACAAACTAAAGTGAGGACCAGGGGTTGGGTGATCGTGGACTAAAGTGAGGACCATGGGTGGGGGTGGTAAAGGACTAAAGTGAGGACCAGCGGTTGGGGTGATCGTAGACTAAAGCGAGGACTGTGAGTAGGGGGGATAACAGACTAAAGTGAGGACCGTGGGTGGGGGTGATCGAGGACTAAAGTGAGGACCATGGGTGAGGGTGATCGAGGACTAAAGTGAGGACCGTGGGTGGGAGTGATAACAGACTAAAGTGAGGACCAGGGCCCGGTTTTTCAAAAGTAATCCACTAGGATTTTGGATAAGGGATTGGATCAAATCTTGAAAATGGGTTTTTCAAAAGAAAAAACGGATTACATAATCGGATTAGATCACGTAATCCAATCTTGGTTTTGATCCAGATCAAACCTTTAGTTTGGGTTTTTCAGACCTTTTTTGTAGGAGCTGGATCACTTTGATCCAAAAAACCTGGATTAAACTGATCCCATCAGAAGCGTGGATTTAGCTTTGATTTCATGGCCACAATGGAATGAAAACTTAAAAAAATTATTAAATAAAACTATATTTGGATCATGCAGTATCTTACGAGATATACTATTTATTCATAAGGTTTTAATTTTATTTGTTCATCTGTCAGGCTATAGTGATTATTGGCTTTAATGTATTTAGACTTTCAATATAGGCCTACAGCAAAATAGAAAGAGTTTGGCCTCATTAAATAATCCCCCAAACAGCTGTCAAAACAGACCAAAAACAATACATTTTATTCTGTTACTATATTTATATACAACTGCAAAAAGAGACTGAGCAGAAGTTCAGCTTCATCTGCCAAAGGAATAACTGACTCTGACCAAACTGCAGCAAACCAAGACCACACTTGAGATCTGCCTCCTAAAGAATACGCTCAGACAAGCCGCTCCCTCCACATCAGATGAGGAAGTCTGACATTATTGTGGAGGTTTCAACATTGTCTTTTTTTTTATTCAATACATCTATATTTAAAACTTATCATAAAGATAGATCTCAGATGAGCGGACTGCTGGAAGAGGATGGGGTGGGGTTTTTCTTGCTTTTATTATTTATCATTATAATTATTTTATTATTTAAAAAAATGTTCTTAGTTTTCATTTCAAATAAAAATAAAGTTATATTGACCCCACACTGGCTATTCTACTTGTTGCTCTTTACATAGGCTGGTAATCCAAATTTAGTGATCCTGAAAAGTTCCTATCCGGATCAGATAGATCCAATCCAATGTTGCTTTGAAAAACTGGCTCAAAAAGTAAGCTGGATTACGTGATCACGGATCGCAAAAACAGGATTACTGAATCCGATCAATTTTATCCGGATTAAACCTTTTGAAAAACCGGGCCCAGGGTTTGGGGTGATTGAAGACTAAAGTGAGGACCGTGGGTGGGGGTGATCGAGGGTTAAAGTGAGGACTGTTGGGTGGGGGTGATAACAGACTAAAGTGAGGACCAGGGGTAGGGGTGATCGCAGATTAAAGCTAGGACTGTGGGTGGAGGTGATAACGGACTAAAGTGAGATCCAGATCACGGACAAAAGTGAGGACTGGGGGTGGGAGTGATAACAGACTAAAGTCAGGATGTGTGGAGGTGGGGGGCATAATACTGAACGTTTGTCGTTGTTATTACTTGTCGTTGAGGTTAGGAGTGCATTGGTTTAATGCTCTCCTGCATTGGGCTCACACATCTACTCTGTACACTTGCGACTTCATGACCGTGGTGGGCGTTTCTTTTTCAGTCTCACGCTGAATGCAGCCGACCAATCACAAAGAAGGAGTTTGGGAACAAATGAATGATCATTGGGATAATTAGGTAAACATAAATGCGAAAGTGTTTTTTGACCTTGCATGCAGATCAGCCCCTTTATAATGCACAATAGAGGCTCTTTAAATTGCTCTCATATAAAATAGTTAGGACAGTGAAACTCCTACAAATGTAAACGCAATGTGGTCGATCCATGATATTTCATCTAAAATTTTTAATAACATTAATAAATTCCAATCGTTTTTTTTTTTATGTTTAAGGAGTTAGTAAATCTGGCCCATGTTCTCTAGTTCTTCCAGCACTCATTATTGCACTGATGCTGATCTGAAATCAGCGGCCGCGATATTCAAGCACGTACTCCGGATAAATCTGGTTGGAATCAAAGATGACAAAAATCCTCGGAAAGTGAACATTATCTACACAACTGTCATGGATGTGAACATTTTCACCCTGGTCATCATCAGGCGTACAGTAATCATAACGGCCTGCTTTGTATTTCCCGACAATAACCCGGGCGATCAGCAATAATTTGGTTCCCTGGGGAGTCTTGTCACTATATCCGGATGCCAAAGCTGCATGTTTGGCAAAATACGTTCCTGTAAAAATGAAATAAAAAAAATAATTTTACAAAAAAATCCAAAATAAATACAGCGGAGATCAAAATGAGTGAACAGCCTACAATTTTAGACTAAGAGGAGTAACATAGCCATTTTTGTTTCAAGATTATTCCCAGTTACTGGTAGTAACAGCCTCTAACTTAGCAGTTTTAAAGACATTGCAAAATTACTACATTTTAAAATGATTGATACTCTCTTACAGCAGGTTGACTAGATCAGGGGTTCCCAAACTTTTTAGCCCGCGACCCCCAAAATAACAATGCCAGTGACTCGCGACCCCCAATATCCTCTGAGGTGGTTATAAATACAGAAACCTTGCATGCAATGACGCAGACACACCAATTAAATTCGTGTCAGTGCTTTAAATGTGCCAGAAAGTATAACCTGATGTTATAAAATCAAAATGCATCTGACGCTATTGCTGCCTTTAATATACTGTAATTACCCCAGGGGGCGCAATCCAATAGAACTAGTAACTATAAGCTACTATAGTAACTATATAGTATATAGTAACTATAAACGACTATTTTTATTTTCAGTATAGTTATGGATAAAATATGTTAATTCTTATGGTTTAATAAAAATAAATAGATTTTTGGAAATCACCAAGCGACCCCCCCCTTCATTGCCCCGCGACCCCTCGGGGGGTCCCGACTCCCACTTTGAGAACCGCTGGACTAGATGAAGACTAAAAATAAGACGGTGAACTCTGACATTCATTAGTTCAGCTCTGAACAGTGTAGGAATTTGTATTTTGACATACAATGTCTCATTGTTTTAGAGAATTTGCACTGAACACAGAATAATTAATAAGCATTTCTTAGGAAGCTGGAAACACTGAAATGAGGAAATGGCAGCCCAGAGTCCTGAACTAAACCTGATTGATTTTCCCTGGAAAATTCAGTTCAATTGAGCTTTATTTGTATAGCGCTTTTACAATGTCGATTGTGTCAAAGCAGCTTCGCATAAATGGTCATAGTAACTGGATCAGGGTAGTTCAGTTTTTAGTGTTTAAGTTCAGTTCAGTTCGGTTTAGCTCAGTTCAGTGTGGTTTGAAGTCATTACTGAGAGTCCAAACACTGAAGAGCAAATTCTTCGAAAAAAAAAATCTGTGACAAAAAAAGTTAGGGCTAAGAAACTGTTTCATAAGGCTGATTAATACTTTTGCGTCAAGTGCACAGCCTTCGCACGGTCGCGTAACCTTCGCCATGGCTGATGCCAATGCTGACATGCACCTCTAAAGAAATGTAACTACTCGCCTCAACGATTCGTAGCTCAAGCTCTGTGGTTGGTAGGCTTGGTAGCTGTGCTGATTGTGAACCAAGAGCCCCACAAACCCGTTGGAACGAATGTTTACAAGTGTCGAGTCCCGTGAAGTAGCTCCAGATGGAGACTTTTGTTTTGTGTTTACCTTATGGTTAAAGGTGCTGCACGTCCACCGGTTCCCACCTCTGAATGAGCGAGTTTTAGCTACTTGTACATTTAGGTAGCGTTCAGAAACAAACAGCACAATTATTTATTTGAATTATTTTTTAAAGTTTATTTACTTATTTTTTATTAATTTACTATTATTATTTTATTCTTTTTATTTATTTATTTACTATTATTAACAATATTTTCAATTTTGCTATACTTTTATTTATTCCTGTTGTAATTGTATTTTAATTTTATTTGTTTGCTAATTTACTTCGGCGGCAATGTTCAAAAATGGGGGGAAAGTTACAACCTTAAATGTACAAAATGTTTCGTTAAAGCTTGAGAAAATGATCATGAATAATTGTTTAAAAAAAAAAAGAAAAGAAACAAACAGCACAAAAAAGTATAATTCATATAAGGCAGCGGATCACTTGACGCAGAAGCATAAATCGGAAGCTGAAAACACTGGAATAATGAAATGGCAGCCCGGAGTCCTGACCTAAACCTGATTAAACTTCTCTGGAAAATCTGTGACAAAAAAAGTTAGGGCTTAGAAACACCACTGTGTGAGACTAGTTATGCCCTACACTGTAAATATATATATATATATGTGTGTGTGTTGATTAACAGTTTCTGTGTTTTGTAATGCATAAGTGTTTAATTACGGTTGCGAATTGCATTATGGGATGTTGAGCTCTGCTCTATCAACTTCCGATTTTGAAATTTCAACTCTACATTTTCACAAAGTAACTTTTATTGACATTTTAGTGTTTTGAAAGAGGTTTTTTTTAGAAAAATATACAACACCAACCCAGACTATATCACCTAAAACTATTACAAATGTTCATAAAAGTCACGTTTTCAGGGTTCAAAGTTCAAATCAAGGTCCCATAATGCAATTCAAAAGCAAAAATACATGGGCAAAAATAAAAAATAAATCACAAAATACGGAAAACTGCTAATTTACGGATATTTTACGGTGTAGTCGCTCTTTATGCTGTAATCATTGCCATTTTCAAATGTATATTACTGTATTTTTAACATATAGATTAGTCCAGTCACTACACAAACATTCATTCAACTTTTGACTGAATATTACAGAAAAAAAATCAAGTGTTTAAAGTTTGTTCTCTATTTAGGATCTCCACTGTATGTACATTTTTACTGTATTTATGTGGAAAAAATACAAGTATAATAACAACTCACCTTTTCCTAATACATGCCCAACTCTTCTCTTGTCTGAGAGTCTGCAGTTAAAATTATATGTGCAAATAGATGGCAAGTTTTTAGCTTTTGTGCCATGAAAAAGATTTTGCTCCTCGATATGAGATTGTCCTTTTGTCCTCATCATATGGATTTTTCTCCTGAGGATTCAAAATTTAGGTTATTTCTTTTTTTTGTACACGCTCATTTTATTTCAAATGAAAGTGTCGATGGATGGATAGATAGATAGATAGATAGATAGATAGACGGACGGACGGACGGACGAACGGACAGACGGACGGACAGATAGATAGATAGATAGATAGATAGATAGATAGATAGATAGATAGATAGATAGATAGATAGATAGATAGATAATAGACGGACAGATAGACAGATAGATAGACAGACAGATAGATAGATAGATAGATAGATAGATAGATAGATAGATAGATAGATAGATAGATAGATAGATAGATAGATAGACGGACAGATAGATAGACAGACAGGATAGATAGATAGATAGATAGATAGATAGATAGATAGATAGATAGATAGATAGATAGATAGATAGATAGATAGATAGATAGATAGATAGATAGATAGATAGATAGACGGACGGAC